CACCTACCCTCACTGGAAATAACCCCGGTTCTGCAAACCAGCTCCATGGCAGCGTCTTGACACTGCCTGCACCTTAAGCAAAAAAGCCCTTCTGAAACCAATGTTGCCCGAATCTGAAGCCCTCGCTAACATCTCCTGCCTCCTGGTGCTGACAACCACCAACACCATCTTTTTTGCAAACGTCGGACCCAGCAATCGACGCCCTGGTGCTGTCCGAGCGGTGACACAGCCCCCAACCCTCCCTGTGAGCTGCTGACAGGAAGGACACCCTGTTACGGGGCTGCATTTGCTGAACTCGCAAGCAGAGGCGCATTTCTCAAATCCGCAGTGGAACAGTTCTGAGGGCACTCAGCACTTCTTCTGTTAACCCAAGCTGTCTCTCTATTATCCCAGCTACCACAATGCCCAGTCAGAACATTTTACACTCTTCCAAAGTTTGCCCGTGTCTCACTGCTGGCTCTGCTGGAGCAGCAAGCTCGCACGCCTCACAAGACCCTGAGCAGCATCCTCTTTGTAACCAGGAGAGCATCTCACCTGAAGCCTAGGGAAACAGGTCACCAGACATTTGGTTCATCTGAACAAAGTGGAGACTGTGGAATAAGCAAAAAGACACCCACGGAAGGGCCCTCCCAAGAAATCAGCCACCAGGGCGTGGTTCACACCACCACCTGAAGTTTATTTTGCTTCCCAGCTCTGAGATGTTACTGAAATACGCAGGTAGTGGAAAACAATATTTGCTCTTCAGAGGTGGCAATACCCACCAAGGGGATACGTGATTCTTCCTACGTGCATGGTTACAGTTCTCTGCACTCAACACTCTGTCAAGAGACCCTACTAGAAGAAAAAGTATGGAAAAGGGCCCTTTGTTCTGCTGCGTCAGGCACGATCTTTTAAAATGCCCAGATTTAAGACTAAGAGAAATAGATAGGTTAAAGACATTTCTTCTGGAGCACTCTGGATCAGCAGGACTGGCGGCCAGACACGCCAGCTCCACCAGGGTTGGCAGGAGCCCAGGGGATGCTGCTTACCAGCCTCTGTAAGGCCCCGAGGACCAAAAGCAGTACTCTGAGTGTTCCTGCAAAACTAAAACTTTACGAAGAAAGAAATTCAAATCTCACGTACAGACCAGTTTCTAGAAGAGACCAGAGCCCACTGACCTTCCAGAGAGGCACTACAGGTACTACTGCAGGCATGAACTGCACAACTCCTCTGAAGAAATAAAAATATAATACAAGAAGATGCTAGAAGAGGAGAGCTGGAGGGAAAAGAAAACAAAACTCCCAACCTAACAACCTTATTAAAGCTTTTCTCCTTCCTCTGCTTAGCAAGGAGAATGCTTAATTAAGTCATCCTTCAAGCCTTCCCACTCACTCCAGCAATGCTCAGCATAAAGCAGAGAGTTAACGGGTTCCTTCACCGCACAGGACATCTCAGTGGTACAGTAATTTGCATATGCTAAAGCAGTGAAATTGTTGCTCAGCTTTACGCAGTGGGTAGGGACAGTATCAGCAGGAGGCACATTTTAGATCTGCTCAGCAATAAGGGAGAGCAGGAAGCAAAGGAGCAAGCTGCTGTTTACTCAAAGTCTGGAGCCTTCCCAAGGCAAGAGTTTTGACTGTGTTATGCACATACTTCTCTGTTTATTTGCAAGTCTCTTTCAGCTTATTAGGTCAGTTTAACTGGCAACTGCTGCTGAGTTTTAAGCCCAATTATAGTCACTTCTACCTGGTGACACAGTCCCAGCTCTGCAGCCAATTCTCACCAATTAATGGCTTCAGAATTGCCAGACCTTGCTATTCGTAGCAATCTCAAGTTTGACCTGGGAGTCATAGTTTCCTGCCATAATTTCAGCATTGTTTGTTTTCACTGGAACACTTCCCTATGGGCTCTCAACTACTGAGACCAGTTCTCTTGTGTATTGAGCCGAGACACAAATTAGGAGCAAGCTTTCAATTTTGGCCCACCTATAATAAATAATAATTAATAAAAAGCTCAGAAACATCTTTCTGTGACAAAAACTATCACCAAGGACCCTTTACTAGAATCCAGACATTTCTAGGGAATCTGTCCCCACTCTGCATGATTAAGCTCTCTTCTCATGAAGAACAGCAATATAACAATAAGAAATTCTTTTTTTCCCTGCCAGGTCTTTCAAACAAGAAATTAAAAAAAAAAAAGCTCCCATAAGCCAGCAGTCCTCTACCCACCAATCCTGTGATTTAGGGGACACAGAGAAGGACTTTCAGCCATGCACATCCCAAGTAACCTGGCTCGACACACCTACACCACATAAAGCACACAGGCAAGCAAATAACCCACATCCCAAGAGGGACAAGCACGAGACCAAAGCCACTGTGGTTACAAGGAAGTGCGGGAAGATAGATTTAAGAAAGGGTTTGTACTTCTATTTCTCCAGTATTTCTGAGTTCCTCCAGGAAGCATCACAAGCAGCACTCTGTTTCATCAAAGAGAAGACTTATTCTGACCTGAGACTCCATTTAAAAGGAAGAAAGCACCTTCTGAACAAGATGTTGTTTGTGGCAACTATAGGACTGGGACTCTACGGTGAGAGGGACGCAAAAATTACCAGGCAGAGCAAAGACACTTGTGTGTGTCTGGGTTTGAGTGTCATTACGCAGCCCCAGGTTATTCACTGCAGTGAAATGAAGCACCCGTCCCTCTGACACAGCAACCCCTGCAGAACTCAAAGGGTCCAGCAAACCCACCTGGGAAGGAGCTCTGAAGCAGGGGGATGGATGTAGCAGCGCTTTGGGACCCTGGGTCATTTAGCTGGCAAGCCGGACAACAGGTCAGGTCAATGCTTAAGCTCCTGCCAGCTGGTGGCTGGGGAAGTTTTCTGTAACTGCTGTGATTCCGTGGGATCATTAAACACGAGCTACAGGCAGCGCTCAGAGGCCATCTGCTCGGTGCTGGAGACAGCAAGGGTGAAGCAGACCTGCCAGGACGACCGAGTACAGCTCGTGCCCTAAAGTGAACTTGTACGGTGTCAGAAAACACCAAAGAATGTTCTGCCTTGACTAATTAGCAGTGCCCTGGATAGAGAGCAGGAGCTCCGCTTGGAACTGCGTTACCCCTCTCTGAATACATAACAAAGTTTTTAAGGAAGGTGCAGTGGCAAATCGAGCTTTAGCTAGCACAAGGCCCTGTCCTGCAAGAACCTCCTGCAGCAATGGGCTCTTCTTGCAATGAATTACCGGTAGGTTCTTACGTAGGTCTCAACGATTTATGTTTGTCTGGAAGACTTAATTTTTAATACTGTAACCAAACTCAACTTCAAAGAAGGTTAGAAATCTTCTTGACCGACAGCTCTCCCTCGGCTGTACAAGGCAGGAGAGCGCCAGGAAAGAACCGTACCTGGGCATCGGCAGGAGCCAGTGAAGAAACTCTGGTGGACGAACAGTTCAGCCCAATCTTTGAGCTTTCAGCCCAAACTTGCCTCCAGTAGAGGTTTGTTTTTCCCCTTCCCTTTGCACTTGTCAGTCTCCACTAACCAAAGATACTGTTTTACTTACAGCAACAGTTGTGCCATTAAGCCAGCCACGTGGAAATCAGCATCTTCGCAAGCCACTTTTTGGGAACAAGAGGCTGCACAAACTTAGCAGTGGAGGATCAGTCTCGTGACTCAGCAGATCACCACATGCATTCAGAGCTCCCACCACAGAGCAGGGCCGGCGGACGCACAGAGGAGTACAAGAAGCTTCCCAGGTCAGGCACCACTGTGTACTACTGCGAGACCCAAGTCCTACGGTACTGCAAGCTACAAGTCTCTAACTCAGTGAGTAGAGAACTTGAGCCTCCTTGCCAAGGCCAGAGCCACGGACTTCCTACACATGCTGGCAGACCCCTCATCAGTCCTAAATCCCCTTTCACAGCTACTTGCCTGAGGCTAGGTACCTGCTAACAGATGTGAGTGGTCCCATCCTGAGCCCAGGGCAGAAGAATTGGTGCTCTGAGGGAGTTTAGCAACACGCCCAGCTCAGAGCGGGGCAGCAGGATGGGTGCAGACTACGGCAGGGAGGCACGCCCCACCAGAAGCCTGTTGTTTTAAGAAGCAGTCGTTCAATCCAACCTCTTCCTCACGAGCACAGACAAAAAAAGCCAGCCTTAAAATACCAGATCTGCACCCTACACTCGCACTTCTACTGATGGAAAAGGCTGCTAATACTCATTTTCTACAAATAAAAGAGGTACTGGTTGTATTGCATGAGAGAGGAAGGCAGCAAATTCTGATGCCCCTGAGCTGGTGATGCTTTCTGACAGAAGGCTGCTGTCATTTTCCACAACTCCTTCCCTGGGGTTTACCCCGAGGCAAGAGACCAGCGAAGATTTCCAGCCCCCCTTACCCCCCCTGAAGGTTTTGACAAAAAAAAGAATGATGAAAGAGCCTTTGTGCATTTATAAACCTGTCAATTTTGCTAGAAGATTTAAGGCTTTAAAGAGTCTAAAACATCTATTTGAAATTTTCTACACAAACAGGTTTTTTAGTATTAAAAAAAAACCCAACACCAGAAATAAAATATTTAGATTTTTCTGAAGCGAAGCATTCCAACAGCTCCAGACAGGAGCGCTGGAGGGGACGAGGAAATCCAATTCTTAAGTTTGACAGGAACGATTTTTTTTGTTTCTTTTAATTGGCAGAGAAACAAGACTACACAGCTATTTCTCCCCCTGGCTCTGACAAGGAATAGCTGAGAAGAGCAATACAGGAAACAACAAAACTCAACTTACTCAAGCGCTGCCAGCTTCAGGTTCCTGTCCCATGCCAGCTTGCCTCGCAGGAAAGATTCCCCAAACGACGTAGCAGCATTTCACCCCACCGTCCTGCCACCTCCCCTCCACACGCTCCCATTACCTTACGTTTTGGCTCCAAATTCCTCCCATGTAGAAAAACAGCAGGCTGCCCATGAGAAAATAGTCCAGACACAAGAGTGTTTGGGAGACCTCAGCCTTTTTCACAACTTGATTACCTTCCTTTCTGGTCAGTCAGAGGAGCTGAGAGTGGCAAACATGCGGCAGCACATTTCTTTCTCTTTTTCCACGTAGTTCTTGTAGCAGCTGCAAAGTAGAGCACAGCACGGCATCACAGGCTGCAGACTGCTCACCCAACCGTCAGCACCACAACCAGAAAATACTTTTTATTTTTACTATATAAATAAGTTAGCCCAATGTAAGCGTGGTGGTAGCAAAGATGGGGTTCCTCCAAGGCCTTCTTTATGCCATGCCAGGGAAGGAGAGCATGAAACATTGTGCCTCCCCCTCAGGCTTTGGGTCTCTGCTCCACTGGTGATTACTGGGTAAGTAGATCATTTGACTTTTGGTAGCCAGACACCTTCCTACACTAGTTTTGCAAGCACATGACTAGGCAGAGGAACCCCTACCTCTATCTCGTGGTCTAGTTTCACGTCTCCTCATTTGTGGCACTCCTCGTGTGAGCTCCTTCAGCACCTAGCAGGGCACGTCACCCAAGTGCCCTCCTCCAGGATCATCGACTATTAACACTGAAACTGGGCAGAAGAAGGGTAGAAGACAGCGGGATTTGTCCAGACTAAGTGGATGACAGGGCAGATGCTTTCTCCTCTGGTCTCACTTCCCTGCCAGCATCACAGGAACGCAGTAAAAGCTTCCCAGACTGCTCCATTTTAACTGCTGCTTCTCCACGTACAGTGTCCTCTGCGCCCCGTGCTCTCACCGCACCAGCAATGAGGTCTCACTGGTGAGGAATCCCTGAGCCAAAGGGTGACTCAGTTTGGGCACTGTCCCAGGGATCAATAGCTGCCCACACAGTCAGCTTCCCTGCATCTGCTACCATATAAGGTCAAAAGCAAAGGTTTTTCTTGCAACACACCAGAAACAGTAGAAGTGTGATGCTGGCTAAAGCTCTCCGAGCCCCGTACCATTAGCACCCGTGTCCAGAACCTGAGAGTGCATCATTCAATGAAATCCCAGCACGGCAAGTCTCTGTTGAGTCTCAGACAGATGTTTCCACAACTGTCCCCACTGAACTGATGAGGGAAGCCCACCTCGGCTGTGGACGACTCACACAGCTACCACAGCAGGAAACCCCAAAGCCCCTCGTTTGGAGGCGCAGATTCGTGCCAGATACCAGAACCACCCCATTTTGTTCTGGATTTGAGGCAATGCAAGTTTTTCAATAGAACTGCCAGATCCAACAGCAGAATCTGCACCAGCAAGACCACTACAGCTGTACCAGACACGTGTCCCACAAAACCCTCACCCTGGATTCTACCTGTTGTTCTCCAGTGAAATTAATTTTGCCAAGAAGCTGGTTCAGCTGTTGAACAGATGCTTTTCAAAGTTCTGTTTCAGACAGCAAAAGGTAGCTGTTAACACACAACATCCCGTTTTGCAGAGTATAAATGTACTCAGTAAGGAAGTGAAAAGCCTCTAAGTACATGATTTTGCTTCATATTCTGCTTTTGAAGCATTTGCCAGATCACATTACAAGTTTTCTCAGGCAAGGCAGTTTGGCAACATTACAGGATCTAGACTGAGATATGGCAAAATTAACAACACCCGATAATGCTGTCTTCACCTATTTTATACTAATTCCACTCTTGGTCATAGTACAAGCAAAAAAATACACTAATTTTAACTGGCACCAAAGCAGAAACTTCAAGACAACAGTGGTTTAACATGCACTCAGCTTACAGACACACACGTTAGCTGTACGTGCTGCTGCCTCCAGAGTGAGAGCTGACAAGCCTGTCGGCTGCTCCCCCAAAAGCAGAATGCCTCGCTGCTTCCGGGCAGCACAACCTCACCATTATTAACAAGATTTCCCTTTTATCTGCCAACATATTCTGGATGAGCCTACAGGAACACACGAGGCTTCCAGCACCGTACCGCAGGTCTTTGACACCAACCTCATGTCAAACCTCCAGGAGCAACCGGCCAGCCACCCAGATCTATTTTCTAACGACTTGCACGCACCTCGCAATTTGGTAGCTACATAACCAGCGGCAGATCAGGATGCAAAGAAGTAGTTTATTTCAGATTTCCAGACCAACAGCAAACACTGCCTTCAAGTTCTTTGTACTTTGGAAGTAACAGAGCAAGTTTGAGGAGTTTGGATTATTAAAGACAACGTGGATACGCAGGGCACTGATGGGCAAGGACAGCCCTCTCCCAAAACATCACCTGGTGAAGGCACTCAGCCCACAAGACTGGCTTTTCCAGCCACCTCGACTTGCTAAAAGATGCTCCAAACATTTTCGCAAATGCCTAGCAGCGACACACAGAAGAGAGACTGTATTCGAGGGCTGCTCTGAAGCTGTGGACTGCATCACCTTACCACGTCTGCAAACGGTGCCAGAAGCACAGAATGCGCTTTTTGGGAACCAGCTATGGCTTCTGCCAGTTTCAAAGGGAAGAACAGAATGAGGGCAGAGACCAGCATTAGTCATGTCTTGGTGGGGCTAGGGCACGACCAAAGCTGGCAGGATTGTGCTTCACTCAGCCTGCAGGCGAAGAGAAAGTTTGCCTTTAGGATTGCTCGCTTATTACTTCTAAGACAGCAAGAATCACTTTTGATGAACGTTAGTATCTGAAGCATCGTACGCTGAAGTACTTGCCGTGCAGAAGAGCTGCTACAATTAACCAACACAGAGGGAATAAAAATTATACTTATTAACACAGAATATTATCAGCTTGAGTGCTAGTCTACTGCATTTTGTTGGTTTTGAGGCATTTCTGCAGCCCCTGTCCCCCAGTCTCCACCCTGAGCTACCTTCTCATAGGCACTATAACACACACATCCCCCCAGAGAACCTGTATGGAAAGGATCGGTGCTCTCAGCTTCTCACCTACTGCGTTCTGCAAAATGTTGTCTCCACACTAAAAGAAACCTCCTGCATTTTCCCAAGTCACTAACCAAATAGTTTTCTGTTTTGTTTTTCCCTCTCCAGTATTTCTGAGTGGGTGTTACAGCCTGTGTAAGCACTCTGTCTTCCACGGGGATGGAAAGGAGTTCTCTCACCTTGCCAGCTTTTTCAGCTCATTGTTAATCTCATGGTTAAATGGCTCTACATGCTGAGCTCTGACCAGGAAATCCCGGGCTTTTTTGTAGTCTGTCATGCAGAGACAAGCCTGCTGTCGAAAGAACACAGATGCGTCGCAAGATAAATACAAACTCATTGCCATTCTCCAGGACTCAAACATGTGTAACCACAAACATTTCTGAGACAGGGCCAGGTAAGCTCAGGAATTCCCCACAAAAAGATCGGTGCAACAGATTTACCGAGTGCCAGGTTTTCCAGAAGGTCAGACACAGAAAAACCACCCCAAATGCTGCGGCAGCTTAGGAGACCTGGCCCAGAATTCACTAGTTCACCTCAGTTCGTTTGAGGTTCTCTCCACACTCAGTCAGGCTGAGGTACTCTTTGATGCGGCTACCAGAGGAATTTATTTTTGCCCACCTGGCCACACCTGAACAGTGCTTTGGCATTTCTTTGGTCAATCTCCAAGGCCTTCTCCCCGTACGCCAAAGCTTGGGCAGGATGTTCCAGTTTCAGGTAGGTAAGTGCGAGATTCAGGAGCAACAGCAACTTGGAAGCGTTGATCTGACACTGCTCTGCCTCACTAGAAGATCTGCGGCCAAGGACGGAGAATGCCTGAGCAGTGAAAAAGAACGAGTGCACAACAAATCTGTTATGAAAAGTGAGAAATCCACCTCAGCAGACACAGCTACATTCTTGCTTCTGTTTACCTTGGTCAGCTAAAAATAATAATAATCAAAACCCTACGTATTCTGCATGGATTATCAGCATGACTAACAAGCTCATGCTGTAAGGCTACAGGTTTAGGAACCCATCGAGGAACTTGAAAGTGGTAGAATAAAAAAAAACCAAACAACTTTAAACCTAGGACTCAGACTTTAAGGACAAAAACAGAAGGAAAAATCTTAGAGGGAGAAGGAAAATTTAAATTATTTCTGTTACAAAAATACCAAGAAAAAGCAACTCTGAATGGAGGAGAAATCTCACAAAACCCCACTTCCTCTGAAACAAAGGCAGATGCATTCCAGTTTGGGAACACAGCAGTATTTCTCTGCCTGGAGATGCCATGGAGTCTCCATCCTTGGAGATGTTCAAAACCTGGGAAGGACACAGTTCTGGGCAACCTCCTTGCAGGGGGCTGGACTAGACAATCTCCAGAGGTTCCTACCAACACCAGCTACTCTGTGATTCCCAACTGGAAGGCTTAGAAATAAAGTTAGAGTGCCCAGGGTGCCACAGATACCACACCAAAAGGGACTGTAGATCCCTTCTCAGAGTGTCAATCAGCTCGCTGCCACAGCACGAGGCTACACTGCACTGTAATGTCTCCCAGCAAAACCTGACCCAAAAGCCACTCCAGGCTCCCACGGGAGCTGACCCAAAAGCTCCTCCGGGCTGCCAAGATGTGCTCTTCCGTCTTGGCCAGAGCTGGCAGGGAGCAAGCCTGAAGGAAAAGGGCTCCGCCTATTCCTGCCAACCCTTCTCCACCTTCGTTTACTACCTCTGCTCGCACAAAAGCAGGTGCCTTAAGATCTGTTCTTAAATAACTAGGCCTGGAAAATAAAAAGTTATTTGATCTCTAAATTGTACTTGCTCTGGGGAGCAAGCACTTAATAATCACAGCTTTCACCACTTTTCACGACAGAAAACACTTTTTTTCTGGTGTCATACCCTTCTGTATCTGTCTTTGGCACTCTCAAAGTTCTGCTTAAGGTAGAGGTAGTTCCCAAGCTTTCTCTCTATGTCTGCCACTTCCAACACCTTTTGTAGGGGAAATGTATCCTGCTGTTCCTGTATAAAGAAATACACGAACTTCAGCTTAATAAAAAAAACCCCCAAAACCATAAAAACAAAACAAGAAAACAGGACAGGACAGTTTTGCACAGTCCCCTTCTATTCACAGGGCGGGAGCCAGGCCATTGCCAAGGTCCCTGCAGCAGCGTCCAGCCAAGCCACCATCCCACAGCACTTCTCTTCACCAGGCTCAATGACGCTGCTGTTCTTGCACTGGGAGGTGAAAAATAAGCAGGAATTTATTCTTAAATCCTGCCCAACTCTCTGATTTGCTAAGCAGAGAGCAGTTAACACTACTGCTGGCACAACAAGTGAAGCTGATCAAAAGGCTCCATTGCTCCAACAGCTCAGCATCACACAGGGTGGCTGCCTCAGGTCAGCTCCAGGACCAGCCCGACACTCACAGAAACCAGCAAAACAAAGAAAAACCACACAACCCAACAATAATAAAAAAGAAAGAAAGAAAACCCCAACAGATAGGTTTTCTCCTGGGTTTACAAGTTTGAACCATCTCACACCGAGAGGTCAGTGAGCCACAACAGGGGGGGAATGAGCAAGAAAGCTCTCTTGCAAGAAGCATGGTTTGTTCTCGGGGCTACGTGTGGCAATAACAGCCTGTGTGGCAGCAGGTGGGAAGGAGAAAATCCTCCCGCAGCAGTGCTGCTGCCTGTGCCCCACTCGCTGACCCACAACCACGGCCCAAAGCCCTTTACATGAAAAGGGGGAATGAACAATAACACCGTAACTCACCAGGGAGGAAAGTGAACAGTGAAGGAGCACTTGGGAGAGCGGCCAAGCAGCGGAGACAAAAGGTGGGGGTTGGGGGGGCGACAGGGGGTGCGTGCACATTTGGGAGCTGCAGACTGAACAGGACTTTTACTCCAGCTCGGTACCGTTCCGTCAGAGAAACTCCTGGAAGCTGGTGCCCTCTAGTGAAACCATGAGGTTTCTTGTAAAGCTAAAAAAATAAATGGAAGCCGTCCCACCGGCTCCAGCGTGTGGGAGCAAACAAAGGCAGCACCTGGCTTCTCCCTCGGCAAGGGGAGCAAACAGAACAAACCGTGCAGGGGCAGCGTCAAAGGGCATCTGTTTGTGCCTGAGCCGAGCTAGCAGTCCAGGGTCGGGAGAACTAAACTTGCATCAAGCTAAGCTTGTGCAACCATGAGCTGCAGCAACTGGAAAGAAAAACAAATTTAGGACTTAAACCTCATCAAGGTAACTCACAGCAGTCAGCTCAAAGAATACGTCAGATTCACTGGAGTCAATGAAGTCCAGCACCTCCACGTCGAACACAACGCTGGTATTCGGAGGAATGAGAGGAGGACAGCCCTGGTGGCCGTAGGCGTACTCTGGCGAGAAGTAAAACCTCGCCACCTCTCCTTTCTTCATTGTCAGCAGGCCAACCTCCACGCCTCCCAGCGTAATGTCTGTTGCAACAACGTATGGAAGGTCATGAGAATCTGGAACACGGAAAGCCCTTAGACACAAACCAACAATTTCACCTACAGCCTGGAGGAAAAAAAAAATTAAAAAAATCCTCGGTAGCTCACATCTTGATGTCCGCTATGGCTGGCGGCCCTGTTACAGACAATCAAGGCAGCGCTGTGCGACCAAGCACACAGCGAACAGCTACGGCTCCTCTCAGACAATTTAAAACCACCAAGGTGTGCAGCTGCCTCAAGGCAGCGAGCAGGCACCCCCTCGGCCATTAACAGCCAAGAGGGCCAGAGGGTGATCGGTTCCAGGTTGACCTTCACCTTTGGAAAGTGGGAGGCTTTGGGACTCCATTAACGAGTTTTAAATATTTCATATAATCTCAGGATACTGAACAGTGTTTAAGTTGACATGTCTAAAACACAACATGGGATGGTCTTTACAATCCCAAGTCCCAGGACAAACTTTTTGACTCAAACTTACCTTTGCCAAGTTTCATCAGCCCATGAGATCTGTCGTACCAGTTTGTACAGAAGGGTTCATCCTGGTGTTCCAGGTACCCAGAGTACCTCACTGTGCAGCGAGGAGTGTGGAGAAAAGAAAAGCAAGAGTTCAATTTCATATCCACTAACAGTACTAACAGCGCGCTGGGAGGTGGTTTTGCAACGCCACCCTTTCATCCTGCTTTTCTTCTGTAGAGCAGCAGAGGCAGCATGAACCACCCTACTCTATAACACCCATCTAGCACTGCTTCACAGTCTTGACTGCTATCTAATTAAGAGTGTAAATTTGTGATTCTAAGAAATTAAAATGCCTCAACTATCTGCAGAAATACATAGCAAAGCCTCTCCTAACCAAAGCTGGAGCCCTGGGTGAAGAAGCAAAGGGGAAAATGTCCCCTTCCAAGCCTGGCCACTCTCCTGGGCGCTGTACAAGTAGCTCCAGTTCTCACTCAGAAAACGTACTGTAATGGGCTTCCCTTAACACAGCACCAGGCCCTTGCACTTCACGAACCCCTTTCAGCTTCAAGCTTCTCTGTACTGTGAGCACAGGTGGGACCTGGAAATCCTGTTTTTCTCAAGGTCAAGATGCCCTTTCATTTAATCTGTCAGGCACGAGAAGTTAAACAGCGTATCCCAACTGCTAAAATACTGATAAGGAGAGCAGCCAGTCTCTGAAACAGGAAGACATAGTACTGAATAATCTAAAAACTTTTAAGTTCTTGTTCTGGTCTCATGCTAAAGTCCAAAGCACTCGGTACTGCCAGCCACAAGCATCTCAATGTCAGATGCTCAAGGGATCTTCCACAACAGGTTCCGTCCTCTCCACCTCCCCCTGCACACACTCCAGGCCCAGACACACACCGAAGTAAAGACCTTGCACCGAGACACAAACAAAACAGGAGAGCACAAGAACCTGACTGTCTATGCTGCCAAGGATTTTAGCTTTTCTTAGTTCTAACAGCAGCTTAACTGCCACTTACAAATAAAGCAGCCTGCAGGCTCATACCCATGAGGTACGAGCTCGGTCCCCATGTGTTGCCTGGTCTAGTTGAGAGGTGGCGTCCCTGCCCATGACAGGGAGGTTGGATTAAATGATCACTCAGGCCCCTTCCAGCCTGTGCCATTCTAGGGTGATGATTCTATGATAAGGCACAGAGCACACCAACACCCCCGGGGAGCCAGGCCACAGCACCTGCTGCAGGACGCCCAGCTGGCAGCACGGAGCAGCAAACATGCAGCCCTGGGGAAGGTGTGAGAACCGGCCCGATCCCCAAGACAGGGCCAAGACACCCACAGGGCCCCCCGCGGCCTAGGGGAGGCAGCGGGGCACCTCGGCC